TATTCTATTCTATTCTATTCTATTCTATTCTATTCTATTCTATTCTAGTTTCTGAACTATCAACATCACTGTTTAAACTTATGTATAATCCTATATGTCGCGCAGCCCTATTACCAATGTTAGTCAGGAACTGGTTGAATTAAATGACAGAGCATCCCAGTTATGTCGAACACATCACTCACCTGGATTAGGCATTCAGGTCAACCACAGTCCCTAGGCCTAGACCAATCTTCCACAGGTTCTTTCTCTATTGTGGGGGCCACAGCTCTCAGAATTCCTTCCAACCAACCAATGACCATTCAGCTGGACATTTCTAATAGTCAGAATCCTGGTACATCTGTCATATATTAAATTGGGGAGGATTGTCTTACAAAACAATAAATCTGGAAGTATGGCTTTCTCTTCAGCATCTTGATATGAAGAGTTATTGCTCTCTAACTATTTGAGATCATGTACTAGAATGAAAACTACCTAATATTTTACTCCTCTTAAAATTGTAATATTCAGAATGGAAGCATATAAAAATTGAATTGGAACCTTACACCTGGATCACAGAATCATTTTAAGCAAAATGAGGCTCCTTTGTTTTTTTGAAATAGTACATTAAATTAATTCAATTTTTTTTTGTAATGCAGAGGAGATGGTTATTTTGTCACTCCAGCAAACTCTCTTCTTACAAAAATAATACCCTTTTTTCAGTTCTTATTCAATTAATTTGCTTTAAACCTTCTTTAAAGAATTTCAGTAAAATTTGTGTAGAATACGAATAGGCTGCCACTCCTCTGGTTTCTCATGCCTTCACTGCTAACAAAGCAAGGATGCTAATTCTTCTCTCCTAGAAAAAAATGGCTGATCAATTTCTCTACCCACAAATTTGCTGGATGATTTAAGAAACCCATTTCTTTTCACCTCTGAATAACACTTCAACAATTTACAATAATCTCAGATGTATGTTATTTCCTTTTCTTTTTAGATTTCACATCTGCACTCCTCACAGACAGATAATCCTCACAGATAACTTGCAAAGAAGCAAAAGTAGAAATAAATGCTCAGCTCCTGTGTGTAGCTGATGGGCTTGAATAGGAAGAGTCATAAAAAAAAATACTTACAGCCACTGGAATTTGGGATTAAGAATAGATCATCACAGTTCCCTTAACTTTGAATTGTCTGTGTTTTACAATAAAAAAATCATGCCCAGCTGAATTTTTTTTTTTTGAATCACCACTACAGTAGTCTTGACTAGTCCCTTCTGAAGTTTCTGTTGTCCACTTCTGGGTAAGGTGCTCAAGCTAATAATAATGCTTTCTTTTGCAGATGGGGTGCCTGGTCTGATATACAGTATTGCAGAGGACGGTCAAAACTTGTGGCTTTCTCTCTAAGAGTGGAACGACCCATGGGGCCATCAGATGATACAGCAGCCAACAATATTCAGTTCAAGTGTAGTAATAATGAAATATTGGTAGGCAATTCCCATGAGTGGGGTAAATTTGGTCTATGGAGTGCCTCCTGTGGTCCTGGAACTTATATATGTGGACTTCAGACAAAGGTGGAGATAGTACAAGGAATGGAGGATGACACGGCACTGAATGATGTGAGGTTTTTCTGCTGTACTTAACTCTAAGGCAGATGCCAATATAATGTGCCCTTTGTCAGGTAGCTTTATTGAACTTATTTCTATTTATTAGATGTATGTTCCCCTTGTCTTCCAGGAGTTCAAATTCAGGTATCCACAATGATGAACGCTCGCATCATAAATTTGGGCTAGTCGCGTTCTCTGTCTAATTTACTTCAGAGAACATAGTTTTGGGGAGAAATTAAAGAAAATGCATTGCTCACTGCTTTGAACTCCTTAAACAGAGGTGTCAATCTCGTTTTCATTGAGGGCTGCATTAGGGTTATGTTTGATCTTGTGGGGGGCAGGGTGGGTTTGGCCAGCTCAATGTCACTCGTGTCAGGGCGCCTGTAGTGGCCCAAGCGCTCTGCCAGTGAAAACAGCTCAGGAGGGCCGTGACCCTCCTGAGCTCCATTTTCACTGGCAGAGGCATTGCAGGTTAGTCCTTCGTTGTTTCCAGGATGGTGCCACAGGCCAGATCTAAACACCCTTGAGTTTGGGCCTTGAATTTGACAGCCCTGTCCTAGACGAAGGTAGAATAATAAATCTAAGTGATAAACAAACAAATATTTGAGAACCAATTTGATCTAGTTGTTAAGGCACCAGGCTGGAAAGCAGGCCATAGTGAGTTCTAATATGAAGCTGACTGGGATACTTTGAGCCAGTCACACTCTGTCAGCCCCACAACATCAGGCTTGAGTGACAAACCTATCAATCAATTCCAGTTGCAAACAATGGATCGACACTATATATAAATATCCTGACAATTAATTTCCAGCCCCTTAGGGTCTGAGTTTAAAAGATAAATTTAGGCTTGAGTAAAACAGTGCTCCCAAGTCCCTTATCCTTTCCTCTAGAAGCAAATTGTAACTCTTCATTAATATAACCAAAGGCAATGCCATATTTCTGTCTCCATTTCTATCAAATGAAAATAAAGCTTGCTTTTTTTCTGCGATGTCTCAGCCCTTCATTTTCAAAGGCTTACTTTCAATTTCTTGGCCATGCTGGAATCCCACCTTTTGTAGCTCCCTGTTGAGTAGGTGAGTGATCTTGGGCCTGTTTCACTAAGTGGACTTGCTGTGGAAGTCTGTGGAGATGGCCTTGAAGAAAGAATGCAATTACCATTGTATACATTAGTGGAATTCCATTTTATTTTTACTACTGGTTCTGTGGACGTGGCCTGGTGGGCATGTGACTGGATGGGCATGTTTTGGTGGTCATGTGAGTGGGTGGGCATGGCCAACTCCACAACACTCACATCAAGGGGCGCCTTGCCTCGCCCGGCTTGCCTGGCCTCCTGAATTTTGGCCTCCCGAACTCTTTAGAATCAGAAGGAGCAATTTAGCTAATCAGATTCATTTTTTTCTGCTCAACACAGAGGTCCAATTGTCCTTTTCAAGGAACTCCTCCCTATCTTGACCATCCTAAGATACTTCAAAGCCAGTGAATTTTGATATTGATTTCAGGGAAGGTGATGACAACATTGGAGAGCCTAGGGTTGCTTAGGCATTTAGTGATCTTAATGGCCTAGTGTAAATTTGCAATATTTCTTTACACTGATCCCCTACAATGAATCCAACCCCTGCAGGTACGAGAAATAATCAGAACATCATTGCTCTCCTCTTGAGAACTTGTTATTCAAAATATACTCAAGTGTTTTCCTTGACACTATAAGAACTGATACACTATTAGGTCAACGCTCAAGTTTATGGAGTATTCCAAGTCATACTCCATAAACAGGGACAGGATTATTTAATACATGTTGGCTCTATCAACAAAGTAATTAGTAGCGCACAAGTCGAATAGCAATGACAGTCTGATCAATGTATTTCTAATATTGTAAAAGGGAGAAAAGGTTCTCTTGAATCACTCTCTTCTCAGCACGAATGTTTCCAGCTCAAAATATCCTTTTTCAAGTACGATGTGATGACCTGAACTGTGCACTTCATTCCAAATGCTATTTCATCATAGATTTATATAAGGATATTGTCCTCCTCTTTTATTTACAGCTCACTTCCTAATGAATCCAAGCATGGAATTTGCCCTTCTTTATTTTACAGCTAGTGCATACTGTTTTGACATTTTCATTGAAATACATAGTTACCATATCAATGATGCCTTTCTTAAGCAATTACCAGTAGGTCATGACATATATATGAGGCTTGAGACAAGGAGGGTTATGCAAATATGCATTGCTTTGGACTAGATTTACCCTGAATTCCCTTTGCCATTTTCATTCAACCAGCTAGGAGAGCTTTTTCTGAAGGTCTTTTCCATCATTTTTGGGTTTTTACTATTTTGAAGAATATGATATTGTTCTCTCTTTTTTGTGCATCCTTTATACCAGAGGTCTATGGAGATTCTCAGCCATCCAGGTCATAGTTATTCCAAAAGTATTTTTTCAAAAGGCAACTGGATTTTATTTATTTATTAATTGAAAACATTTTTCTTCTCATCCAAGAAGCTTCTTCAGTTCTGAATGGAAGAAGCTTCTTGGATGAGAAGCTAAAGTCTTCAAGAGAAAAAACAAATTCCAGTGGGATGGAATTATACCAGAGGGATATAAACAAATAAACAAATTCCAAAAACGGTAATCTGAAGGGTAAGGAGAACTGGCTGAGATAGTGGAATTGTGAATATTCTCAAATTTGAACATTCTCATTCTTACTTTGGGTTGTTGTTTTTTTTGGTATCTAGCCAATTATCAATTAGACTGGATATACAATGCCTGTCCTGGTTAGACAGTATATAGTTAGTTTGGGAATGGGAGCTGTCCCCTTAAGGGCATGCCTCATGGGAAATGTAGTTAATGCCTCATGGGAGATGTAATTCATGTCATGTGGTCACATCTGTACTCCTAATTGGTCACTGAATTGACCTCTGGTTGGGTTGGGGTGAATTTTCTTCATTCTTACTTGGACCCAGCAACGTGCTGGAGTCTCCCCTTGCTGTATCTTTATGGGATGAAGAAAACTATCTTTTCACACTATGAAGACAACAATGCAAAGATTGGACATTAGATGAATCTCAACGTAACTGTGAGTTAAACTTTGAGGATGCCTGATATAATCCAATAAAGAAACTTTGTATGGAAGCCTTTGTAGTGTTTAGCTCCTTATCTCAGGTATTGTGGAAGATAAATATTGCCTTGAGGCAAGACAACGCCCGTTGGATCATCCCTACCTATATGCTTGTTGATGAAGTCAAAACAAAACAAAAATTAAGACTGGTGAGGGGGATGATAGAAGGATTAGTTCTGACAGGATCAGAGGAAGGGTTTGGAAGGATCATATTTCTTTTCAGTCATCTGGTTGTTAGCACTCTCCTTAAAAGCTGGAAGGTTATTAAATCAGCAGTTACACAGTCTGCTAAGGCTGGGTTAACCCTGTTACTTCTCATCTAGCTCTTCATAGCCATGAGGCCAGTTTTTCTCAACCTTGGGAGTTTGAAGATGTGTGCACTTCAGAATTTTCTCACCCCTATCCCTACCATCCCCGATTCTTGCCTTCCTTCTTTTTTCTCCCTGCCTTCAATGGTAGGGCATTCCACATTTAATTTTTCTCCCTTTTCAATTCATTGGGTTTCTCCTATGTCTCCTTAAATCTGACAACCTCTTTTTCTCGGCCCAAGGTCTGTCGGTGATTTTGTAAGACAGAGTTTCCTTTGGCAACAACATCAAAAGTCTCACATAACTGTGATTGTGGGGGAGTTGTTGGCTGCTGCCCAAATTTTTTTCCTCTCACATGAGCGGCCTATGATGATAGAAGTGCCTTTTCAATTCTCAAAGAAAATTAAGCCCCCAAGGAGAGGGAGAAAAGGAAAGAAACCAATGGAGAAAGGCAGCTGGTAGTTATTTTTTTCATTCTATACATGGCATTTCTATCCACTTTTCACAGCAGGTTGGTAGGAAGGCCTTCACAATTATTTACAGATAAAGCCCTCACATGGAGAGTGCAATATGTTGCCTGGCTCTTACTTGGACCCCTGCTTTCCCTTATGGCTAGCAGGCATAAGGATGTGGGTTGCCTTGCTTGCTTTACAAATAAAGTTCATTCTTAAAATTAGAATAGATGACACTGGAGGGCTGAACTCAATCAAGAACTGAATGTTTAAAACTGAAAACATGATGCCTGCAAAAATATGGATGGCCACTTAAGGGAGTTTGAGTTTCCTGTTTTTCTCTGTTTCCATCTACAGGTCTTTGGATTTTGCATTCTAGATATTGTAATCCTAATTTTGAAAAATCTAGGGAAGATGAATTGAAAAGCTAACAAACTATAGGGTCTCTTGGCATGTCCAGGGAAAAATGTCCAGGGCAAAAACAAGAGGGTAGAAGGGATATCTTCATAAGGTCTCCCAGGAAATGTATATTATAGAAAGGATTTGAGGTATTTGATGAACCAAAAAATTGCACTGTTGACTGATCCCTTTTTGGTTGCAGTGTATTACTTTTTTGAATTAAATAACATCTTGTACTTCTTTTTTTAGATTAAAGCCACTTTTCTGCTTTCGTAAATAAAAAGTACATTCTGAAACAAGTAATTGGCTCACATCCTGAACAAATGTGGTACAAAGAAAGTACTTGGTAATTCCATATCATCACAAAATCTCCAGAACTGCAAAATCTACAAACTTGAAATTTGGCACGTATGTTCCTCTTGGCTTCTAGTTGCTCACTAAGAAAGGATGTTTCAAAATGACCATCAGAGCATTAGTATTTCGTATATTATTATTAACATGCTCTGATGCTAAAGAGTTCTACTCCCCCTCCCCACCTGAAAAGAAATCTGTTTCAAATGCAAAACACAAGCATAGGAGAGGAGTTTCAGTTTTACTTTCACATCACCAAGCAGCTTTAATACAAAACAGTTGAGCTAAGCCATGCCCAGGCTCCTTGCTATCTCCTTCTTGCTAACATAGAAAATACTCTTTCAGTTTCCAAACAGCCCTCAACTCTCTCACATACTGAAAGGATGCTAGCCAGATGAATACTGATGGATGCT